GTAGACATTTTGCAGATCTGTACATGTACTTTTCACACATAACACATTTACATCTTCTATACAGAATTTACATAAAATACATCAAAGCGATATAAAAATAAACTTCAAGCAAAAAGAGAGTGTTATAAAACTTCAACGCTTTGCTTAAATTTTAAGATAGGCAAAAATCTTATTTTAAAATAAAACTTGCTTTTCACAAAATATTGTAGAACCAGAGCAGGATTTTGCAACTTTTGCGTGTGTTCGCAAGCAAGCGGATTGTTTTGCGTTTTTGATTGCATTTTTTTACGTTCTCAGCGCACTCGGCATTACGGCACTGGGAATCGCGGGATGCACTGCGGCAATCGAAACTATTCGGCGGGTCGATAAATCGGCGACCGCGATCGTGCCGCACGAGGACACTTTAATCGTGACGCGACGCTACGCTGACGCGGAGTCTCGTCGCATCAGCGTCGGGGCGGTAGCTCGATGTAAATCCATGGGATTCTGGGTGAACGAGAGACAAAGAGAGAGAGAAAGAGAAAGACAGACGAGAAAAACAGATGTAAATTACATTCGTTTCGGTGACGTTTCATCTCTCCGGAGTTGCGGGAGTGTTACTCGCTATCGCGAATACCGTATCAAATGCCGTCTGAAAATACAGTTAAACCAGAGTAGCACAGATGCAATTAGCAATTCATAGATCTCGCATACATAATCACTACCGCCGCTCGTGCAACTTAGCTTAAATGCAGTTTCACAATCGCGTCTTGTCAAACGCGTGGAAAAATAAATCAAAATCAATAGAATTTTGAGATAATTAACAGTCATTAAACAAAGATGTTGCCGCGCAAAGATGTTGTCAAATAAAGCACATGATATATTGTTAGTGTATATATTATAATATATATATTATTATAAAAAGTAGTTTATAATTTAAAATGCAAAAATTGACAACTGCTTTGTCGCAAAAAACTTACGGTTGCTTCGAAAGCCTGGTCGTGCCCCTTTAATTAGGCGAACTTTTGAATTAGTCTCGAACTTGTATAATATGTATGCATGAATTATAAACTCATTACGGAAGTTGGTACGTGTCTTATGAAAATACAATTATGGTCGGTACATCCTTGCGCGTTTAATGCTAATTTGACGTCGTTTGCGATCTCCCTCTCACGGTAACGTACGATTTTTCCAAGTTAGTTTTATAGAAAAAGATTAAAAGCGTATCTACGTAATCTTGTCTATAGAGCCATCCGGAGAGTGTATGTCTCAATAAAATATGTATTAATCCTCTTTTTAAAAGCGAGACACGTGCTCGCGCAACCTTACGAAGTACCTATTGCCAGAGTACTTCTTCTTTAGTGCTCTAAGGTTAAAAGGAAGTTTAATGCAAACCCTAGAAAGAGATCTGTCATTCTCGGGAAGAGAAGAACAAATACAACTTCGTCTTCGTAACTTTTGGTAGCGATACGAACGTTTCCCACGAAGCGAGAACGCAGTAACGCGTTGAAAAGTACGACCGTACTCTGCTTTTCTTAATGCGTTTGTCGCTTTGCATCGCATCGGTTTTTAAATAGTTTTTTTTTTTTTTTTTTTTTATCTTAGCAAAAGAGTCGGACTGTAATCAGAATAAACTAGAAACCGTTCTCGCGTAAGAGAAACGCAAATAGCGTAATTCCACTTCTTTATTAAAGATATTGTTTGCGTTCAGATTCCGGCACATCCTGTGTGTTCTTGTTTTTGTTTTTGCATTTCTAATTTCCATTATCTTACGGACTCATAATTACGGTATCGTGCGACTTCTGTAACACGCCACTTGCAGTTACAATTTTCGTGCTCCGTTCCGGAGCGCGATGTAACGCTCCAGATGATTGAAAACCGATTAGAGTCAATTATACACGGTGGCTTCATTACGCTCTCGTTCGTCCGCCTTCGTTACATCAGAACGCTTCTTCCGAACAAGCTGGTAGAAGAGGGCGGCAGCGGCGTTTCGGCTGCGTCAGGAAGTATTATAAGCGAGCCTGAGTGAATAGACGCATTAATATCGCAGTCACGTCCTCGTTTCTGCAAAACTGCACGAAAGTTCCTGCGAGACACTTGGATATTCAGTTTTGTTCCCGAGCTTTACGCCGAGAAAAAATTTTTAGGTGGAAAATTATAGCTTATCTTACTTCGTAAAGTTTTTACGGTTGTAGATCAAACAACAGAATCTTGTAGAATTTTACTGGAACTATATACGACAAAAAACGCGCATGTAACGAGAAATTGATTGAAAGAGAAAAAATGGAAGATATAAAAAATAAAACATTATAAAATAAAAAAAATGAAAAAACAAGTAATGTGATACTAATAGGTATATAAATATTAATATATCTTAGTCGGTGATGACTGAGGTCGGTCTTCTTTTAAGACAGAAAATTAGAAAATTGTTTCTATTCTCGGAAATGAGTTTTTGTCATTGTTACCTGATGTATCGTATCAAATTATCACCAGCCAATAGTGCAATGTGTTATATTTTTACGTCGATAATAAAACGATATTTTTTGTTTTATCACTTGCTCAAGCGCGTTGGGAGATCGCACTATGCACATTCCTCACTGCAATGCGACAAATGAGCATGACTCGAATAAATCGTTTTATTGCGTTCCTCGTATTTTGCAGTTTTTAATATACCATTATCGATTAGATTTTTTTATACGTGACGGCCGTTATTTTGCGTACCTACGTAGCGACAGGTTAGGTCGCATAAACAACGTGCTCCCCATTATGATCGAGGTCTTAAATTTGCATGAGAGAGCCGGTCTTCCAGGCGAGGTCCTTTTGGAATTGATATCATCACGCGGGATCACAGGATCCCGTGAAACGCACCTCTAATGGACTGTTTAGTAAAGTCAACGTAGCGCGAAATCTTTCATTAATCAACCGGCACGAATGTGCAATTAATTAGACGTGGATCGTGAGTAAAGTCTATCCATTGCTCACGCATGTATGTCGATTTTGCTACGATATTGGCGTGAGTATACGATATGTATGTCGTTTTGTTTTCGTCGAAAAAAAAACAGCGAACAGTGTTTAGAATTCAAAACAGACGGTGGCGTTTATTGAAAGAAAAGAAAAAAGACAAACAAAATGATTTGAAATATATCGAAAGAAAAAACTTAAAGTTTGAGAAAAAAAACTATGCTTTTTCTTGCATCGACCTTCCGATGACTGATGCGAGATCGTAAGAAACGTCGGAACTTTGCGCGAATCAGCGAAGTTTCGCGCGCGCTACGGCAACAATTTCTCGCCGAAATCCATTATTCCGGCCGTGCTTTGGAATCGAAACGGAAGGAAATTCTTCGAGTACGGGGATGGCAACTTTAACTTTTCCTCTTTCCCCACCGACGGTCACCGTCTTGTCACGCTATCGCGGAAAGACGTGAGGATATCGACTCGACCCCTCCGGCTTCTGTCTGATTTCTCTCGGAAACCGATAAATTCGCGACGTCTGAAGTCTGAACTGTGTCGACGAGCGGAAAAGAGCCAGAAAAATTGAACCGTAGATTTATTTAAACTGTCGAGATTGTCCATCAGTATGATAGCGGTAAATATTTATAATCATTTAAGTAATATAAAGCGATATTGAAATGATAAATTTTATAGACAATGTGAACAGACAAAAATCTAACTGCATGTAAGTAACCGAACTCATAGTTGGCATCTTCTCACAATAATTGACACTATTGAATTTTTCCAGTTGTTAAAATGTTTTTAACATTATAGTAGAATTAATTTGGATTTTTTATGACAACATTATTTTAAAGTCTTTTTAGATGGCACTCTTGAAAAAAAATTGACAGGTCTTTAAAGTGCCAGTTGTTGAGCTTAAACTGTCAATCACACGTTGGATGTATCTGGGGGATAACTCTATAAATCATTTCAGATTTTAATTATCTTTTGTAAAATAAACATTTGATATAGATTACAGGCTTTAGATACATCATGTTTTTTTTTTTTTATTTTGTAATGAAAGAGTTACGCTGAGCGAGAGATTAATTAACAGATTCTTACGGAGACGATACAAAATAGTCCAACAAAACAAAAACCTGTTCTGACCGATATAATCCGACGGAATAATACATCACCCAGTTTCCACTCGTCATTAATTGCATCACTCGCCCTTCATCCGCAAAATCATCCAAGTGACTATTAATCCTAGCAAATTATAGTTAATTGTCACATCTCATCTCGAATTCACGATAGCCTAATAATATTAAAAGCAGGATAATTTGATCAGATCGTTTCAATGTACATATAATGGTCTCGGTAAATTCTCAATTACGTCACATACCCGTTATATAATCAATTATCCTCTTTTTCCATAGGTTGAAACTGAACGACGATCGCGATAATTGCCTGTGTCGTCTACTTTATAGTCCTATAAAAGACCACTTTCAAGACATTAGGTACAATGTCCCGGGCACACCCGGGTGTACCAAGTTGACCTCTTTGTCATCAAAGACGCGTGCTATCTACCGATTTTGCATGCGCGCGTGTGTTTCCAATCTCTGCTATTATTATTCTTGCCCTTCTTCCCACCCTGATCCTCATTCTTTTGTCAAAAAGGAAACCCTTACGGGATTCCTCAATCCTGTTACGTCATTTTCGACAAGTCGCAGATCGCTCTCTTTCGCCGACTCTTCCGCGCTACACCGCGTGAACCTGACGGTCGGACCTATTGTGTTCTCCTTCCCCTTATCAGAAGGACCTCGCAGCAGTTTCCCCATTACTCGCGCGACACCCAGACGGACTTCGATGCGCGTACGCCCAGGAGAGTGTTCTACGCGTGGTCGTCCCTGACGGTGTATAGACCGGCGCGACGACGACGGTAGGCCCGGCTGCGCGAGCGACCAATCGCGCCGCGCGACTAGTGGGGGTGTCGGTGCGTCTCGCCGGGGAGGTGAAGGGTGAGGTTCCTCACCGATGCAGGGGGCCGCAACGCTGCGAGTCCTCCCGTCAGAGAGCCGGCAGCCCGCAACGCGAGTGTTGCTGCCGAGCTTTGATAATCGAGGGGTCGCCAAATAGGCTAACTGTGAGAAATCGTCATCGTTATCCGTGAATCATCATCACACCGTTGCCCGCCGTTGTCGTCGTCGGTCGCAACAAGAAAACCTCGTCATAGTTAGAAAAGGATTTCGTGCTTCATTTAACCCTAAACATCGACGGGGAAGTCTCCGCATCAGAGAGGAGACAACGGAACGTCGTCGTTCACCGTCGGAGGCCGTAGATCTCTCTACGCCGGGGGTCTCTCTCTCTCTCCCTCGCTCGCTCGCAACCCTTACCGTCTTCAGAACACCCGGCGTCGTTCGCTTGCAGTACTTGCTCCGGTACACATACATACATACTTGCACACATACTTGACACGTATTTATTCGCACGTACGTCACTCCTTATGAGCAATCACTCCACTTCCTTCCTCTCTTGTTGTTCCGTCCGCGACTGTCATTCCTGTTCTATTTTTCATCTGTCATCCGTTACTCCGTCTCGCACGCCGTATTTTATCTCTCGCGCGCTTTAATCTCAACCTCGCTTTAATCTCATCCGTTCTCAATCACTTCGGTCTTCTGCGTGTCGCATAGTGCGTCTCGCGGCGGGCAAAGAGAACGAGGTGGAAGACTCTCGCCGGGTCTCACAAAGTGAGAGCGGACGAAGGCTGCAAAGAGGCAACGGAGACGAGCCGTTTCCGACGTACAGAGAGCAGACAACTCGCCTCCCCTCCGAGAAAGAGTGAGAGAGAGAGAGAGAGAGAGAGAGAGAGAAAAAGACGTCACCGCGGCAATCAAGAGCGACGTCATCGTTCGCCCGTCAGCGACGACTCTTCAGGATATCCGAAAACGTGGAATTCGCTCGTCGGGAATTCCTTCCTCAATTCGGGACATTCGGAATATTGCTGGAGAACGTAACGAGTAATCAGGTGAGTGTTACTCGCTCTGAAACTTGGTCGGGAGGTTCTCTTTTGAATCGATCGAAATCCTCTGCGTGTCGGTGACCATTTAACCGGGTCACCCGACGAAAGGGATGGACAGACTCGACAGACACCTAACAAACGGATTGCGGTATATGCGGACTCTGACGAAATTTCCGAAACTTCTCGCGCAATGATATAATATGATGACGTATAGATTTTATCAGCCGCCACCATATACCGCCACCGCCGTCGTCGGGAATAGTCCGCGAGAGGGGGCGACTTGTTACTAAGGGGTGCACTGCAGTCACGGTCTGATAGTGGGGTGGTTTCGTTCCGAAAGTTTCGCCGGGCGGTTGCTGTCAAATTCCCGTTCTCTAGCCGGTCGTGTCGCGATTTTTCAAATTAATTATCTTCGATTGTGAGGAAAAAAACAGAATCAACGGAGATAATCGTCAAGAAAAACAGAGACCATCGACCGCCAGTGTCTGACATATGACAGGTAACATCTCCTTGTGTTGGAGCGCGTGTCGAATAGTCACCTTTTTGTGTGACTGAAAGACGTAAGACGTTGCGTATCGATACGCATCGTTGCGAGGAATCGATCGACATGTCGACCGCCGTAATATGTATATATATATATTATTTTCGACTGTCCCCTCCGTGTCTGCGGAATGTGGATCAATGATCTAAGACTATTGACCATGACTATCCGCGGAGGCAATCCGGCATTGTGCCCGTCTTGCGCACTGCGCCCGCTAGGATATGCTCGTAGCGCTCCGCTCGCGGAGGGCTCGTGTAAATCCTGCGCAATGCCGGCTCGCCGTGCGTGCGTACGAGATACGACCGACGGCGCCGACTCGTCGAGAGGAGCACAAGAAATCCTCGTAAAAGATCCCCCGATTTCACCCCTCGCCGCGTATGCGCGACTATAAGCGACTATGGATCCGCGCGCGAATTCTGACGAAGAGTTCCATTTCGTTCTTCTTGTGTGTGAGCTTCTCACACATGAGGCTTCTCAGGTCCTCTTCTCCCGAGAAAACTGACTTTTCCTTTATTGGGAAAGGCTCAGCATCTCGTAGGGTTTCGACGGTCTCATCGACATTCGGCTTAGCCGCACAAGAGTTTAGTAGTGCGATACTATCCAACATATAACTATGCACAAGCTACCGGTGCACCACCTTTCTTCTTCGTGATCTTCGATTTTTCATTTCCACTTGTATTTCTTCCGTACGTATTGATATCCAATAATCCGGATAAGTTGCCGTGAATTCCTATTGAAATTTTTGCAACTATGTAACTGAAAAAAACTAAACTACTTGAAGTTGTAGAAAAAAAAAAAAAAAAAAAAATTTCTAGATATAAAAGTCAGATATTATCTGAATTTTTTTTCGATAAATATAGATACATCACGATTCAAGTCTGAGAATTGACTTCGCGTTATAGTCGCGCAAATCATTTATAATGCAAGTTCGCATTAATAAATTTTCAGTTATTACATATTTCATAGTGCTTTGGCGAGTACTGGTACACGCAATTTTGAAAGAGCAGTATCGGGAAGCTTTTTCAGCGCCACACTGAACAATTGATTCGTCCGCGTCGTAAAGCTTGCCGGTACGCACACATACGGTCGCCGACCGTAAAAGCGAGATTAGAAGAGCAATATCTGAGCATGCTACTGCGGCTTTGCGAAAACATCTTTAAAGGGAACGGGATTACATTAACGACGATTCAAACCTAAAGAAAGGCGAGCACATAAAGCGGAACCGGCGCTTTGTACGCGTGCTCTCTTTTTCCTCGACCCTTACCACTTCTTCTATTTTGGCCCTTTCGTACGCAGTGCAGATGAAACGTCCGGAACAGTTCGTTCGACAAAACGGTATAGAATACGGCGCGGCAAGGGCGGTTTTCGAACGAACAATCCAATGTAATGATGAGCGACGTAAATCACGCGCTGCCTGGAGAGCTTTCGGTTTTTAATCGCCATTCGCTAATCACAATGCGTCAAACGCGTTAATTGCAATTAGCATTGTGCGTGCCGGCGTATCTGTATCTATTAATAAAAAGTGGCAGTCGTAATAACATTAAGTCGATACTTCATTACCATCTCGGCGAGATTGGAAAATTTACTTGCATCAGACTATCAAAGCGTTTTTATGCATATATATCTTTTTTTTCTATATATATATCTTTAATGAAGAGTTTAGGCTCTAGAAGTTTAAAACTAACTTCCAACGTAAAGCTCCCCCCCCATTGACCACTAAATATACATATATCTTTTTCTCAGAACTCCCATACGAGGTGATGCAAGATAATCTCGCTCTTTGGTAAAAACTCAAGATTGTTATTTTATATTCTAAGAACCAACAAAGTGTATGATGCATACAGTAAACTATTGTCAGAGAGGTAAATAAAATAAAAGCGGCGTTTAAACTAATTGAAGCGAATAAAGGAAAGACGGAGAAAGTTCGCCCCGGTTGTGACAAAGATTGTGCCATTTCTCTCGTGCTTATCCGCGATTTAAAAAGACGTATTAAAACACTTTAATCACTGATTATCGTTAACATGTCTGATAGATTAGATATTGCGATTGTAATATAATTATTCTTTTGAGTCTTAAATAAATAACCCGACTCAGTGGCGAAAGCAGAAAATCACTTCAGCGATTTATTGCAGCAATGAGTACCACGGACCCCACTGGGGAGGGTGGAGGAGGAGGAGGAGGTAGTGGAGGAGAAGAGGGTGCTACACCGACAAATGTCGAACAGAGCGCATCTTCGAACACCGGCGGTAACGTGCAGGTGCAAGCAACCACTCAGCAACAGCAGCAGCAGCAACAGCAGCAACACCCACCGCCGTCACCTCTGAGTGGCTGCTATCTTCTTGTGGTGCTTCCTGAGCCTCATACCGCACAACACAAGGACCTCATCCTGAACCGTCTCGCGAAAGGTGAGCGCCATTCTTGAAACGTCCAGAGTCATTGACGTATCACTCGTATGCTTGGGTCGGCCGTAAATCACGAGATTCACGAAAAAAAAAAAAAAAACACAGCAACTATACTATTAAAATTATTAAATAGAACGCTTGTTACATCAGTACTTGTACGTAGTAAAAGAAAAATATTTAAGTCGGGGAAAACAAAACAGAAAAGACCCCTTTTTTTTATCTTCCGCACAAAAAGTACGAGTCTCGTGCGGTTATCAGATGACTCTTCTCGATACGTTATCAGTGCGACAGCACGCATTAACGTATGCGTACGATTTTGAACACTTGATATGTAATATAACATAATTATCATTACGATCTCGATTTTGCATAATCGGGATCTGGTATCAAGTATCGGACGCAATAGTTCGTTTCCGATATATGAGGCATGCAGCTTGGCTGTGTGTGAATGCGCTTCGCACCCGTAAATCTCATCCTTTCGTTTCGCGACGTTCGCGCGTTTCGGCAATTGAAATTGCACGTATCCGTCGTCGCGTTTGCGTAACTTCCTGGACGCGCGTGTACAGCGGCATATGTACGTGTCTAACGGTGCCTATCCTCCTCCGCTTAAATTCCTTTTCCGAGTTATCGGAACAGGCTATGAAGCCGACAGACGAACGGACGACGTTCCGTGTTGCTAGGCGGATCGTAAAGTGGCCTCTCTCCTCCTCTTCCTCCTCCTCCTCCACCTCCTCCTCCTCCTCCTTCTCATCTCTCGGTTTTATGTTCTCGAGAAGGAAATTGACGTCGGAAATTGTGCGGCTATTTTATTTCTCATCGTCTGCCATTTAGACGCTCGATATCAGACCGCAGCGCTAATTTCTCGCTATATCTGCATTTATGTGTGTACATGCGTTTTCTCGTATATAAAACATTGCTACCGGCGCGGCGCCGGTAAACTGAGCAAAGCGACCGACACGCTTCTTAATCGCGCGAAAAAGCAGCGAGCAACGGCGCTCCGATACTAATTAGTTTTACGGCAAGAGCGCACAGTATATACGCGAACGTTTGCTCGCAGATCACCATAATCGCACATACGAAGATAGTTGCATTGTCGAACGATCGATAGAGCAAAATTGATTTTTTTCGTTGTTGTCTCGGATGTGAAAGGATGTGTGAAAATCGCTTTATGCAGTGCGATATTATTAAGAAAAAGAAGGCTTGTTATATATATATATATATATATATATATATATATATATAATGTGTGTGTGTGTAAACAAAATTTAAAATATTTCTCTAAAGCAATGTGCGCTTTTTAAGCTAAAAATTTCCCCGTGCGTCATTCTCTCAAAAATAGGATATGAGTATCTCGTGTATACCTCTCAATTAAGATGCTTCGCCGGTATTGTCATTATCGTCATGAATTTGTCTTTACACATGCGCTATATGCGAATCTATGCTTTGGGTTCATAATTAGATACGCTGACGTGGTCCACATGTTTAATTAGAAACATAAAAGTCCAATAAAAGGAGCCACATCCTTATACCGTGTACGCGATATACGTACGCGATAAGGATGAACGCAGAACGGAATTTCAATGAGAAAAACGTCGATATTAAATTTTGTTTATCGCTGGTAAATTTATAAAAAAAAAAAAATAAATAAATAAGAAAGCTAATACATTATCTTTATTTTCTCGCTGCATCTCAGCTAAGTCTACACGTCTTTAGTAATAATTTCTTGGAATAATTTTGTAGTACGTGACTTTCCTGCTGTCAATATGCTAACGTTAATGTACAACATTTTACAGAAAAAAAGAAAAAGCGGAGAAGAGGGGGAAAGCCAACGTACGAAAGCCGCTGTCTCGCGTTCGTGCTTTCCGCATTGCGCCAGCGATGACTGACGCGCGACTTGTCGGCTCCTCGTTTGGCGCTTATCTGTCAATTTTTCAAATTCTCTCGCACGCGCAAATTACACGCTTCGCAGTCAGTTGCATTTGCGACGATGATTTCGCGAAATGTCATTTCGCTAACGGCGCCTGGTTGTGTTGTAGCTTAAATATTCTACGCTTTGGTTACACGTACTTGCATTACAAAGTGTTCCATTTCCCAATGTGAAACACAGTCTTTTACCGTCACTCGACTGCAAACACAATATTTACAGAGAATTCGCGGTTTATCGTTATTTTAGTTTAGATTGCGTTTATTAGTTTTGTTATTACAACAATTTCTGATTCTGTCATCTTATGATCATTAAATGAGGATCACAGGAATTGGTTTTATCTCTGACTCGTCACAGGCGAGACACAAACAAAACGATTGCGGGAAAATCGTCATGCAAAGAACATCCCCTCTCGAGTGTTCTTTTCTTTATTAAGAAGAGAACGTTCTCCGCGTTTCTTCTCTTGTGTGGACTTCTGTGTAAATTTAGCGGTACGACTTCGAGACATTTGTTGCGCCCGTTTGCATGTTGCGGGCATGTTACCGCAACGTGCACGCCTCTCTTCGCCGAGTTCTCATAAAATATACTCAAAAAGACGCGCGCGCACATCTTCAATTCTTCGCTTCGAAACACTCGTTGGATGTCGTTCTTGTCACGAATATATATATATATATTCTCAACTTGTTTTCACTATTGTGCTTCTACCTTTCTTCGTTTTCTACAAGTTTTCTCACTTTTCAACAAACTTTTAACTCAACTTTTAATTCACGTTCTGAAATCCTTTCAAAGACAATTATAATACAAATTTGTGGAAGGTAGCAGGAGGAAGGTAGCAAGAGAGAGAAAAATCGAACGTTTATTTCCACAGGCTTATATCACTTTTTGAAACGACTCGAGTACCGTACCGTGAAACAAGGCTTTTGCAGTCGTTACCGTATTACGGTCGTACGAGTTCTCACGAGTGGTTCTATTTCTTCGGCAAAGGCTAACGCGGGTCTTAAGGATCTCTCCTTTTTTTGAGACGAGAGTTTTGTATGCCCGAGCGAATCTCACAAAGGCAAATTGCGACCGCGCGGAAAGTCCGTGAATTCAAGAATATATATATGTAAAGTACATATATCTCGCTACATATATCGCGGGATATATGTAGCGTGATAAAATACGGTATTAGATTGCGAAGCAAAAGCGCATGGCTTTTTAAAAGGAATATTATCCGTTTTGGTGTTAACCCTTTACCAGACGCGTGTCCCATTTAGTCCCGGCAGCCATTGCCGCTGCGGAAAATACTGTTCCTTTTTTTCTTTGTCTCTTTCTCTCTCTCTCTCTGTTCTCCCTCACGTGTGTGTTTCGTGCGTGGCATTTTGGGTGAATCGCAAAGCTCACGTGCCGTGCATGCGGAAATAATAATAGCAATTTATTTTCGACGGATAGCTCACCCTTCCGAAGGGACTTTTTCACGCGGCTAATAGTCCAGGCGCGCTCGTGCAAAGAGAATTCACTGAATAATGGAAAACCGACGAATTTTATTATTTTATCTGTCTGATTGTTTGTTTCTTTTTTAGCAATCAAAATGATTGGATATCTGTGCGATTGTGCAATATCAAATATCAGATACACTCCAGATTGACTACGTTGCACCCGTGCAAGTGCACTTGGTTATTTTTACACTCGGTAATTTTATTTATAGTTGATGAATATTCACAAAGCTATCTATCGGAAACACGTATCTATAGATTCCGAGAAATATATCGATAAATATGCACACATCGATTTGTTCATCGTGTTCATACAAGTGCGCAGAAGTGTGTATCTACATGTGTGCACACCATCTCGTGACAGCGTGTTCTATTCTCTGCATCGCGGTGTGACAGAGGGTTACAGACTTTAAATGTCCGTTTGTATTTATAGAGTTCCGACGTACAGTTCGGAGAATCTGCCCTCTCCGATCTCGACGACGATATACGTTCCCCCTAATGTCGTGTCTTCTCTTAATCTCGATCTTATCTTCTTTGCAAGAAGCAATTCGTTCCTCATGAACAAATCAGAAGTTGTTCCACGATGTTTTCTCGTATTCTTATCGCTCTCTTCAAAAGTTAGTAGTCGTAAATTTTGCACGTTTTTTTGAAAGGTTTTTATGTGATTATAAATGAGAGAAATTACGCCTCTTTTATATTAAACAAAAATATCTTCTATATAAAAAATATATATAAATAAAAGAAATTATTTTTTTACATATAAAAAACGATTTTGTTCCATTACATTGCGGTATAGTAATTTTTTTATCTCAAATTATTTTCTTATCACATAAAAGAATTAATTTTGTGTAAATAATTATCACGCGCTTTATCGCAAAAACAAAACTGTCAAAAGTGCTCTTCAAATACAACTGTAATTTCGCAAATCGATGATAGTTCATTATTCATGATGATTGCAGTGCAAACCAGGGGAATCAACAGAATGTTTCGCAGAACCCGGATTGTGTCATGCGGGACTCCGCACGCACACAGCTCGTTCCCATGCGTGACGCATTTTGCATCAATCGATATATATATTTTATGGGGGAATCGTATCTGTGAATTTTTCGCAAGACAGTAATAATGACTCAACAGTAATAACGACCAAATATTGCACGATCAAGTTTTACGGGGATTAAAACGATAAAATTACATAACAAAAATAGAGTCATGATTATCAAATATTTAAAATTGACAGATAAGAGGTGCAATTTCTCGAAATTCTCGGTATTGAGTTCACTGAAATCTGCAATTTCGGTCGAAACTGATAACCGATTTAGAACCGGGGGGTGAATACACGGAACATACACTTTTCGTGTATACGTGCATGTGTGAATTCGATCAATCGTGTATTCTCGCCATAGACCGGGTCAACGCCTCTAAATATCCGCATAATTACCGGTGTCTGTATTACATTCGAAAGTTACACACGAAAGATCTCGTCTGTGCACGTGTGACTGTTCACATGCACGTAGTGGACACGTGAAACACATATATATATGATGTATATGCGTACGTGTGTATTATGCTTATGATGATATTTGGATTATCGGCTTTCCGAAATA